CGGGGCAGGGCAGGGCAGGGCAGAGTGTGCAGGCCAGGGCAGCGTGGTAGCATGGGGCAGTACAACGACAGTAGCAGTGATGGGCAGTAGGAGTGGGCAATAGGCACGGACGTAACCTACACTCTGATACCATGTCAAGAAGTACGAACAGCGGAATGGAATGCACTAGCAAGGGTTGGATACAAGTAGCAAACCCTAGCAATGTTGTACTCCCTATAGCATGCTTCACTATAGCCTAACAAATATATACATATGTATTGATAGTTGCTGGAGGTGCCGGTCTTGGGGGTGCTGACGTTGGAGGTGTTGGTTCTGGCGGTGCTGATGCTGGAGGTGCTGGTCTTGGAGGTGCTGACGCTGGAGGTGTTGGCCCTGGGGGTGCGGACCCTGGAGGTGCAGCGGGCGCGCGACGTTCGGCGAGACTGCAACAGCAGCAGAAGTGGCAGTAGCAACACTAGCAGCATCAGCCGCAGCAGCAGCCGCCACAGGTAGTCCTTGGTCTTCCTTGCCCGTCCACCAATAGTGAGACTCCCTCCTCCCCTCCATTGCCTCTCCCGGACCCGTCTCCGGCTCTTTTTCCTCCTTGTTCACAGGTGTCTGCTCTCCTGCTTGGCCTGTCTCTTGTCTCACAACCCTTTCCTCGTTGTCGTGCTCGTGCTCGTCACTCGTCTCCTGTTTCAGGATTTCACTCCATGGGCCTCCATTCTCTTCCTCCTCGTGTCCCACCTCCTGTTATCCTATCACCTCCGTAGTCATGGAGCCGCAACCGGCGGCGACACAGGCGGATGGGGCGCAGCATCTAGCGGAGAAACGAGCGGCTGGGGAGCTTTCCGCGAGGATCAAAGGGGGGAAAAGGAAGAAGAAACAGCGCAAGTTGAGGTCGAACCTCCTGTTGTTCCTCTTGGACGCCCTCCGCGCCGCCCTGCATTAGCACCACCGCCACCTGACATCCCTTCAGGAAGTGACCCCTGGGACACCATTGACTGGGGTAACGAGCCATCCACCCCGCGACGCACTGTCTACGGACCTGCCCCTGAACCGCGTGAACCGACATTTGTCCCTGGCATGATCCCCGGAACCAACATCCCCTACTCCATCATTCGCGACAGGGAATTTCTCGCCCTAATGTTAACAACGGCGAACGAAGAAGAAGAAGAGAACGAGGAAGCAGCGGCGACACCTGCTCAAGCACCCGATGAGGACCCCGCAGAGGCACTCGCGCGCTACATGCGCACCTCCGGTTTTCGCGCCGACGATGCCATCTGGCACCAACGCCTAGGACACCCTTCGCGCGTGACTCTAAAGAACTGTATCGAGGCTGGCGTCTTCGCACCTGGCGCACTGTTGCGACCTGACGGCTCCGAAGTAAGAAGCGAAACTCACCCGCGCACCTGTACCGTCTGCCCCGAGGCTGCGCTGAGTCACCAGCCCTTCCCCCTGCGTGAGCCAGGAACCAACCGCTACGCCAAGTTAGAGAAAGTTTACAGTGACTTCCTCAACGTGGGACATTGCGGCATCAACGACGAACTCTACACGCTCACCTTCGTCGACGCTGGAACGCGCCACGTGTGGGTCGTAAACGTGGAAGCGCGCAGCAGAGCATACGAAGCATTCCGCCTGTGGCTGGCGCACGCGCAGCGGCAATCCGGGGAGAAGTTGAAGATCTGGCAGTCCAATGGCGCGTCGGAGTTCAGGAGCAAGGAGCTACAGGATTACCTTGCACAAAAGGGGATCGAGCATCACGTTTCCCTCCCCTATGCACACCAACAGCAGGGCGTAGCAGAGCGCACGAATCGCACTCTCATGACAAAGGTGCGGGCGCTAATGAAGCAGTCGAAGCTTCCGCCGATCTACTGGACCCACGCAATGCACCACGCTGTACGGGTGCACAACCTGATGTCAACCACCGCGATCACCGGCAACTCCTCACCGCACGTGAAGTGGACGGGGAGGAAGGGCGACACATCCATGCTCCGCGTGTGGGGATGCATGGTCCAGTACCGCCCGCCAACATCAACCATCGGCAAGTTCAAAAGCCGCGCGCGCTGGGGGATCCATCTCGGGATCAGCCACGAGTACAAGGCGTGGATCATTCTGGATCTCCTGAGCCAGAAAATCAAGAACGCGCGCGACATCATCTTCTACGAGCGCCTCTTCCTCCAGCAGTTCCGCGAAGACGAGCAGACGAACGCGAACCGCGTCTACGCCAACGACGGCCACAGCTACGCCTCACCTGAGGACGAAGCCGCAGCAGCAATTCTGGAGCAGGACCCCAGAGGCGAGTTCACGAGAGGCGATCGACACGACGACGACGACGACGATGATTCAGGAGAAGGAGGAGCGGGCGCAGCAGGAGGCGCAACAAGCGGAAGCGGAAACGGCGCACGAGCAGCACCACCAGCCCCACCAGAACCAGAAAGCGACGACGACGATGTGCAGGAGGTCATCCCGCAGCATCGCCACGACAGCACCGTCACCGGAATGCAACTCCTCGGGCTCCATGCTGCCATCTCAACGGCGCCACGTGTCATCGAGCCTAAGAACCCACGGCAAGCACTCACGGGACCTCACAGCGAGGAATGGCGCGAGGCAATGGATGCGGAGATCAGGGCACTCGAGTCACGCGACACCTGGGTACTCGTCGACCGTGCAGCAGTGAAGGGGAGAAGGATCCTTTCCGGCAAATGGGTCTTCCGCATGAAGACCGGAGCTGACGGGACGATCGAGCGCTTCAAGGCGCGCTGGGTAGTACGCGGCTACGACCAGAGGCACGGGATCGACTTCGATCAAACGTTTGCACCAGTGAGCCGCCACACCTCCGTCAGGATACTCCTAGCCATCGCAGCCGCACGACATCTGCCGCTCCGACAGATCGATGTCAAGAACGCATTCCTGTACGCGCTCGTAGATGCAGTAATCTACGTGGAGCAGCCGCACACATACGGCGAAGGAGATTCACGGGTCTGCCAGCTGCGGAAGTCCCTTTACGGGATCAAACAGGCGCCGAGACTCTGGCAGCAGTACCTGCACAACATACTGCTTGAAATCGGGTTCAAGCAGCTGCCTCACGATCCTGGGATGTATCGCCGCGATTTCCGCGGCGAATACATCCTACTCACGGTCTACGTCGACGACCTCCTCTACACAGGGTCAAGCAACGAGCTGCTCGAGCAATTCGAGAAAAACCTCGCAGGGCGCGTCGACATCACCTGCAATCATGACGTGAAGCAGTTTCTCGGGCTCAACATCACTTACTCGCCGGAAGCCATTCATCTCTCAGCAGCGAAGTATGCAGAGGAGCTTAGCAAGCGCTTCAACATTGCGCCTGCACCACTCTCCACCCCTTACCGCAGCCCAGGACCCAACCACAAGCCTGACAACAAAGCCATGTCCCCTGCTGGGCTTCACACCTACCAGCAACAGTTGGGATGCCTGCTCTTTGCATCTGTTACCTGCAGGCCCGACCTTTCCTACATCGCGAGCCAGTTGGCTCAGTACTCTCGCAAACCAACGGCTGAGAATCTACTAGATCTTCAGCGGGCGCTTCAGTTCTTCATCTCCACGCCCAGCATCGGGCTCTGCTACTCCACCATTCCAACTTCATCCTTCAACCTCATCGGCTACGTGGACGCCGATCACGCCGCTGACCCCGATAATCGACGGTCCAGGACAGGCTTCCTTTTCCGTCTCGAGCCCAGCGGCCCCATCTCCTGGAATTCACAGAAATAGGAGCTGGTTGCCCTGTCATCAGCGGAGGCTGAATTCATCGCAGCAACAGCAGCCGTTCGCGAAGGCCTCTACCTTCAGGAGCTGCTGAAGGAGGCGAAAATTCCAGCCTCGACGAATTTTCGCCTACACTGCGACAACCAGAGCGCGATCAGGATCGCGAACAAGCCGGGATTCGTCAATCGGACCAAACACATCGCGCTGCGGTACTTCTTCGTCAAGGACGAAGTTGACAAGGGCAAGGTTGACCTAACCTACTGCCCGACGGGCGACATGGCAGCTGACTTCCTCACGAAGAAGCTGTCACGTCAGCAGTACCAGCACTGCTCCGAACTCAGCGGGGTAGTCAAGCGGGTCAAGACTCGCTACGGCCAGGAGTGAAGGGGGGTGTTACGAATAGTGATTGTTGAAACACTATTACACACTCCTCACCGCAGCAATCGAAGCACGCTCTACCGAGAACGAAGACGGACAGGCGGAGGTGACACGAAGAGTCACACAGTTACGAAAGGATCTGGACCGTCGGGCAGACAGCATCAGGCAGCAGCAGTGGCGAGGATTCTGCCCGAACAGTCTCGTAACTGTCTGGAGTCGCACGTTTGGATTTCGCTGCAATAAGGGAATGTACCCCTTAGAGTACATGGCTAGCTAGGTCGATTGGTATCCCCTCGTAATCTTATTTATATTCCTTGTACTGCATGTTTTTATTATCTCAAGCATTTACATCCACTCTGCTATTGAGGTCAAGGGCCCACCACCACTAGGTTAGGACTGTGCGAACCTTCCTGAGGTGATCCTGAGGGTGATCAACTTCTGATCGCAACACAAGGCACATTGAGTGATCAGGGTGTCCCTGAACCAATGTGAGGGCCTCTCTGAAATCCTAGTCGTTTGTGTCATAGGCACGCAATTAGCAACTTAGCTCGGGTGCGCATTGTATTAAGACGGTCATTGTACAAACAACACAACACTTCAACTTTTACATCATTACAGAGTGAGTTTGAGACTTGAAAGGACCAAACTACCGATGGAAAGGGGGGTGCCCCTATGTTGGCGGCAGGCTTTAACCTATGCGTGAGAAAACGTAAATTAAAACGCATAAAGGCGCGCTCATGTTATGGTCGTGAAGTCCCAAAGTTCCGAGCCAATGTTCTTTCCCAGTTTTTGTTACGGAAATGTGGGTGGACATCTGCCTAGCTCTGCTAAGGCGAGAACCAACATCGGCCTACCGTAGCTCTGCTACGCGAATTGCGCCAAAGCATAAAGGTATTGCTCTATGGCAGCCGCTGCTGCAGCCAGTCTATAAGGGCGGGACATTCTGAGAGGATGCTCTCCGGGGTCCACTTTGGTGGTGCCTGCTGCAAGGTCGAGTCAAAGCAGGCTGCGGCAGAGTAGGCGGACGATGATGATTTGACGGGCTGTAGGGAAGTTGTCGGGCCGGGTTCCGGGTTCTCATAACACTGCATCCGTTATTAACGGTTTCAACAAAACAAGGCAAGCGGAGGAGTGGAGTTAAGTGACTGGCAGGGAAAAAAAAAACCAAACAAAATCAAACAAACAACTAACGACGAAAAACAATAGTGCTGCAAAATCGCACTTATTTTTTGCAATGGATAAACTTATTCGCATGACTCGATGTTAATCAAACTTATTACACCTAAGATTGGTTAACAAATGAAGTACATGGGAGGATCACAAAAGCAGTACAAGAGGGCCATACGAGCCACACAAATAAAACATATGGGAACCACACGTAGGAAGTAACTCTCTTTTCTATAACATACACTTCCTTTGATCTCTCACATGTTGTTTAAGAAAAAGCTTGAAAAAAAGTCCTGACTCGTACATTTAGTAAAAACGATTAACAGCATCTTGAGATTTAAGCAAAGTATTGAAGAAACCAAACAGAAAACAAATTTGGATGGGGGTCATACCTTCATCTTCTCCCCCCAACAGTTGGGGAAAACACTGATGCTGGTGACGAAGCCTTCAGGTTGGAACAGCATGACCACATTCATCTCGTTGAGCTTCCATGTGAGGCGGTCGCCTGCAATCACCCATGACCTGATGTGCCACACTCCCATGAGAACAAACCGACTAGCCTTTGGCGATGCAGCTGGTGGTGCTGTTGGTGGCGGCACACGTGGTGGTATCCAATTAGCGCAAGTTGACGCAGGCATGGTTGAAGAGCGGGGTGTTACTATGGTGGTGTCCAGGTCGAGGTCTGGGGTGCACGGCCAGTGCAGCAGCCACCCTGAGACGCTGTCAATGAGAGCCGTCGATGCAATGCGCTCAAAGGCAGCCTGAATGGCGCCCTGGTGAGGAGGGGTGCGGGGTGGGTGGGTGAGTTGGATTATGGAAGAGAAGAAGGTGGTGAGCAGAAGAGGGGGGCCGCTGGAAGCAATCCTTGCATAGGCGTGTGCAAGAGGCCCAGGCTCTGAAGCACTCAGCCTCACCTGACTGCCACGCCATGTAGATGTGTAAGAGGGGATGAAATACAGGAGCATGACAATAGTGGGGACGTTATGCATGAGAGAGGTTGACATCATAGCCAGCACAAGGGCATACACACCAAATCAGCGGAGCACGCCACATGTCCCTCACATATACAACCCCTCTCCCCTCACATACACGCAGAGCACGCCTCAGCCCTTGCCTCCTTCACTCTCACTCTCTCACCCCTTCGCCATCACGCGTATGTCAAGTGAGCAGACGAGTGGGGCTGCTCGCAGAGGGAGACGCAGAGATCTGCAGCGTCGCGCCCCTCACACTGCACCACCCCTCCCAACCCCTCACACACACATACATCAAGCGAGCAGAGGCGGGACTCCTTGCGGAAGAAGATACGGAAAGCCACCACCTCTAGCCACTCCACCCCCACCCTACCCCACCAATCCCCCTCCGCCCTCCCACCCCCTCCCTCTCCGCCCTCCCCCTCTCCTCCCCCCACCCCCCCTAACGCGCACGTCGAGCGAGCAGAGGCGGGACTCCTTGCGGAAGAAGACGCGGAGATCCATTGCCCTGGCGGGGCGGGCGATGTCAATGACTGCATAGCGCGTCGAGTTGCACTTGACCTTTTGGGAACGGGGTTTTGGTGAAGGGGTTAAAACAGACAAATGGAGAAATGCTATTGGAATGTGGTGGTGGTAGGAGAAAAGGTGGTCACAAGGTGAAAGATTAGATGTGCGGGAGTTGATTTGAACATGGGGTGTCACAGAAACAGATGGCTGTGAGGCTCACCTTAGTGAGGATGATTCCTGCACCGTCAGGGTGAGGCACACAAATCAACTTGTATGTTTTGCCGGTGTTGCTGTCTCTTATCTGTGTTGCATTTCGTGGAGGACAGAAAAAGAGGTACTGAGTAAATGGATCTTACGGGAGACATTATTTATGTATGCAGTATGCAGTGGTAGTGTGTATGATGAAGGGTACAATGAGTACAATGGAGAGTAGATATAGTAAGCTTCAAAGCTGAGAGCCAGCCTGTATAAATGCAGCACGATGTACCCTCTACCCTTCATTGCACGATGTACCCTCTACCCTTCATTGCACCATAAGTCGTGCGTTCAAAGCAACTACTGCGTGAGCCATGCCGTCGCGCTAACTTAGCAGGACACGTCTTGACTGGTATCCACCTCCATGCATCCTGTAATCTCACAGAGGTAGAAGGCTTTTGAGTGGAGTGGACTCAACAGCACAAAAGCATACCCGGAGATGGTAGCATCTCTTGCTGCCTGGCCCCCTGCTGCCCTCCTCCAACGCAATGCCCTCCGCCGTTTTGAGCACCGACTCTGGGAAGCCCTTATCGTAGATGTGTTTCACGGGCACCGGCCAGTGGCGCGCCTGCTGGTTCACATGCGCTTCAAATGCCCCCGCTGTGAAGGGCGGTAGACCGGGGAGGAGAGTCCTGGACACAGGGATATTGCACAGGAGGAGAAACAAAAACGTCGCGGTAAGGCCCGGGTATGCCCGTCTCTAACTTGAAGCTATTGACCAACTGATGCAAAGAGGATTGAGATTCGCGTTTGGTTTGGCATCGTCATATGACGCCAACCAACCAGCCCACGTCACAACGCCTCAAAATGCCTCATAAATAATGCCTCAAAATGCCTCATAAATAATGCCTCAAAATGCCTCACATTGCCTCACATTGCCTCACATTGTCCCACAAGCAACGCAACATCTCGCCACATGCACGCACGTACGGTGGGCAGTCAAAAGGCGGTTTGAAGAGCATCTTGACGAGCGACACTGCCAGCTTGCACCGATCCACCACCCGAGGCTGCCCTATCCGAGCCTCCCCACCCACGTGCATGTCTCTATGAGCAGCCTCTAATGCCTTACGGAGCAGGCCCATTACAGAGGAGGATAAGGAGGGTAGAGAAGAGGGAGAGAGAGTGTATGGTGAGGAGAAAGAAGAATTAGGTAGAGAAGAATCTTCAGGTGGTTTGGTAGTGTCATGACCGTCTGTTTCGGAGACTAGTCTTAATGTGGCAAGATTGCGCTCCCCATGGTGGCCTATCCCCGTGAACGGCTCGAATCTGAGCACCACTCGGTTGCAGCTAGCGCTTCCCCCGTTACAAGAACAGTCCCCGTTACAAGCAAGCTCCATTTCAGGCGAACTTCGTAGGAGAAAATCATCGACTAGGGTTTGGATGACGACACCGGGGGAATCCAACGGTTTCATTCTTAACGAAGAACTGCTGCCTCGTCCCCAAGGCTGACCGCGGCCCCTGCCTCGGCCTCGTCCCCCGAACCTGTTTCCCGAGCCAGATATCGAGCCTCCATGATGGCCTTGACCTAAGGCAGCTGGCGGCATGGAAGCAGATTCGGTAGAAGCAGACCCGGTAGTGGAGCCGCCTGCGCCGGCTCGCCTATGCGGAGGAACGTATGGCATGGTGAGGCAGGGAGGAAGAGGGAGGTGGAGGAGGGGCGACGGAAACAAGGACTACTACTTATGACATAAGGAGTGGGAGGGGGCACGGCGGGAAGTTTATCGCGGCAAGCCAAACTAGCAGCGTCAGCTCCAAGCCGGTTCAGCTCAACCGCCTTCACGTTGAATTTGCCTTCCCTTACAAACGTGCGTTCTCTCCTTGATACATTCTCTAGGTTATCGTTAAACACCTACTAGGCTGACGTGGATGTGACATGCTGTAGCGATTATGCGTGTCGCTGAGAGTGGATCAAAACGTAATTTGAGCGAGGAGCCGATAGTAGTCAGGACTGGTGACCACTATGACTTATTCTGTCCATTCCATCTTATTCTTAGTGGTGGTTGGTCCCTTGCTGTCCGACAGCAGGCCATGACCTATTTTCTGCACTTCGCCTGCTGTGCGATTCAGCAAACGAACTGCTTTGTTTGTCACCGTTCTGAACCGTAATGAAACAAAGCAATCACAGTACGTAAAGCGAAATCGAATTGGCAAGATCGCTTTTGGAAAATCCTAACGACCGTACTCGACCAGTGATTTACCTAATAAACCGTACTTCACCGTGCCTGTCGCCACCCGTGCCAAACTTTTGGTAGTAGGCTTCTATCTTTATAATGCTCGAATCAGATGTGTCCCTGGTGTGGCGTTCCTTGGCAGACTCAACAGTTATGAGTCAAGGCTCGTGATTCTACTAGGTCATCAGCGTATGCACGCACTGTGGCCCGACGAAATGGAATTACGAGAGTGCGAATCACACTCTCACACCTAGCTTAGCTTAGCACTGCGGATGCTGCCGATGACGTTAGGGCCAAACCGTCAGCGACGGCAACAGCAGTGCGGAATGGCGCACTGAGCTCGCTGTACCCAGGGTCCACGCGGAAGAGAGAGGAGATTCAAAGACGAGGTAGTCAGCCGTGTCCTGCGCCTTCCGCTTCCGCCATCCCCGCCGTTGCGCCTTTTACTTCCGCCATCCCCGCCGTCGCCGGTTCCGCCCCCCATGGAGAATCAGGCGCCATTTGCCAGCAGAGGCGCGCCCGCAGCGTTTCCGCCGGCGGCGGGACCTGTTTCGTGGGCGCAGGCTGTGGCTGGGGAAGGCGCGGTGACCGGGGGAGGCGCGCAGGTTGTGGCCGGGGGAGGCGGAGCTGCGCCCAGCATCGTATGGGGGGGAGGCGGGAGGTCGCAGCCGCAGCAGCCGGCGAGCAATCTAAAGTGCGTTTTCTCTGGTTATGTTCGTCGCTTTTGCGTCGCCGCATCGCTTCATCGCCCAGTGCTCGCCTTCCCTTCCAAAGCCCCCTGCGTAGCGCCCTCGCGCACATGCGGCGGGGCTCGATTCCGCCTTGTCGTCCCCCCTAGCTCTCCTTGATCCACTGCCTGCACGGCCGCTTCCCGCTGCCTCCATTTTTGCTCCTCCCCGCCCCGCCGCTCAGCCAACTCCTTCTTTCTCCTGCTCCCCATCCCCGAATTCCCATCCTTCCCCGCTGTCCCACCTCCCGCCCATCCGCTCCTCCCCCGCCCTCTCTTTCTCAGCTCACCCTCTCCCCCTTCCTCCCCCCCTCCTCGCCCTCCCTCTCCTCCTGTGCCCCGCAGTTCGCCAGCTGGCTTTCCCGCGCTGACGTCAGCAAACCGGTCCCCATCCCCGCCACCCCCCAGATCCGAGCAGCAGTCCCCCTCCCCCCCGCGCGCCCCCCCCCCCGCTGGCGCCTCCGCCAGCCTGCTGGGGGACGCTGCTGCGCTGGCGCGACGCAGAGCGAGGTTTGGGGAGGTGGCGGTGGGGGATGGCGCGGAGGAGGGCGGGGGGAAGGATGGGGGGAAGGGCGGGGAAGGGGGTGAAGATGTGGGAGGGGGGCGGGGGGGAGGACGGGGAGGAGGGGGAGGAGGGGGAGGAGGGGGAGGAGGGGGAGGAGGGGGAGGAGGGGGAGGAGGGGGAGGAGGGGGAGGAGGGGGAGGAGGGGGAGGAGGGGGGATGGCAGCGGGCGGGGGAGGGGCCACGGAGGAGGGGGAGGGGGGAGGCGACGAGGCGGACTGGCAGCTGGCAGAGGCGGTTGTGGGGACATGCCCCGACATGTGCCCTGGTATGCCCCGACATGTGCCCTGGTATGCCCCGACATGTGCCCTGGTATGCCCCGACATGTGCCCTGGTATGCCCTGACATGTGCCCTGGTATGCCCCGACATGTGCCCTGGTATGCCCCCACATGTGCCCTGGTGTGTGCGTCTGTGCCTGCGCTGGCATGCTTGCATGCTGGTTGGTTGGTTGGTTGGTTGGTTGGTGTGTATGTAGGTAGGGTAGGATCATGTTGGATGTTTCTTTCTCAGGCGAAACTGGGAAGTGGAATTATATCTCTGCATGTGTTCTCACACTCAGCACAGCACAGCAGCACATGTGCTCCTAGTAAACCACCTCGTCCTTCCCTCCCCCCTTCCCTCCTCCTCCCCATCGTTTCTATCCTGCACTCTTTTCCTCCCCTCTCCCCACCTGCCCTCTCTCCCTCCCCTTCCACCCCCTTCTCTCCCCTCCTCTCGTCTCCGCCTCTCCCAACTTCCCGCCCCTTCACATCGTCTTCCCCTTCCCTCTTCGTTCCCTCTCTCTCCTTCTCCACCTTCCCGCTCTCCCTCCTCCTTCCTCCCCTTCCCCCCGCCACCAGCGCAAGAGAGGGAGGTGAGGGAGCGCAGCGGCGCGCTGGACGTGTTTGAGCGGGTCAACGGGGACCGCAGCAGAACCAACGCACAGCTGGCGATCAAGAAGGTGGGGTGTGGTCGGATGTGGTCGGATGTGGTGAGTTAGACAAAGGGGGGCAGGAGACTTTGTCAGTGGGGACCGCAGCAAGTCGAGTGTGCACCTGGTGTGGTGAAGAAGGTAGAGGTATGATGTGCGCAAGGGAAAGAAGAGGGAGGGAACAGCCGTGAGGGAAGGGAAGGCAGGTTCTTCCTGCCACTTGCTTCTCCTCCGTTATTTATTACTGCCTCCACCGTCGTATTTCCCCTCCCAGTATCCCGCACCCACTCAATCCAAAGCCATTCCACCCATTCCCATCCACCCCGTCCCGCCCGCCTTCCCCCTTCCCTCAGTATCTGGCGCCCACAACATGGTTCCTTCTTTCATCCACCCACTCCCCGTGCTGTGCTGCATAACACTCTGAGGCACCTTCTATCTGTCCCCTCCTGCTCCCCCCTTCACCTCCCCTCGTTCCCCAATTTCCCCTCTCTCTTTCCCTCCCCCCAACTCCCCCTTCCCCCTCCCCCAGTACTCCCGCCATCATGGATCCCTCGTTCATCCGCCCCATGCCCGTGCTCCACACCACCATGGCGCACATGCTCTCCCTGCTGCACCTCCCCTTCCCCCCTCCGCCCTCCGCGGCCAAGGGGGGCGCGGAGGATGGGGAGATGGAGGGGGAAGGCGCGGGGGAGGAAGCGGGAGGGGCGGGGGGTCCAGGGATGCGGCTGCTGCTGCTGCACTCGTTCCTGTGGGATCGCATGAGGGCTGTTCGTGCTGACCTGCGCATGCAGCACCTGTTTGGAAGAGAGGCGATCAACATGCACGAGCAGATGGTGAGACATGCACGAGCAGATGGTGAGACATGCACGAGCAGATGGTGAGACATGCACGAGCAGATGGTGAGACATGCACGAGCAGATGGTGAGACATGCACGAGCAGATGGTGAGACATGACTGCTATGCTGTTAGTGCTTGCCTGAGAATGCGAAACATTTTTGCACTGTTTTTTTTTTCGTGTTTCATTCCACATAGTGCACGATCTGTTCAGAGGGTTTGACATCAAACAATCGCCGTGCTCTCCCCATTCCTGTCCCGTTCCTTCCTCCTTCCCCATTCCCAAGTCAGGTCAGCTGCGGTTCCACATAGTGGCGATGCACGAGCTGTGCGAGTACCCCAATTGGGACTTGTTATGTCTCATTGTTTCCGTTGCTTCCTCATAGTGCATCTTGCCTTCCCCCTCCTCCCTCTTTTTCCCACCCCAGGTGCGCTTCCACATAGTGGCGATGCACGAGCTATGCGAGTACCCCAAGGGCGAGGGCTTCAGCGATGGCTTCGATGCGCATCTCAACATCGAGCAGATGAACAAGGCGTGTGTGGACCTCTTCCACATGTACCACGACCGCCGCGCCGACCTCTCGCATGCACAAGCGATGGCGAGCGAGGGCGGGGAGGGGGTGGGGGAAGAGGAGGTGGGGGAGTTGGAGGCGTGTTTGGCGCAGGAGGGGGAGCTGAGGGGGTACTACCTGCTGCTCAAGATCGACCGCCACCCGGGGTTCAATGTGAGTTGAGTTGCATGGACAGCTGCCTGGGGCTGGCTGGGGTTGTGAGCTTGAGATGCTGCATCGTGATGACAGTGTCTGTGGCAGCATGAGGCAGAGCTGAGGGGGTACTATTTGTGCTCAAGATTGACCGCCACGTGGGGTTCAATGTGAGTCGGTCAGTAGGTAGGGACCATGAGCTGTTGGACCATTGTGTCTGTGTTACTTCTGGATTAAGAAAGAAGTTTAACCGTTTTAGGAAAAAGGGGTTGCATTGCAACACAAGTGCGATCTATTGTACGAGGACATGAGGCGAGATGGATGGCGCATCTTGCCTGAACATGATTTGTGACAGATGCCGAAGTGACTCTAGTGCACGGTGGTGTGAGTGATTGTTGTGACTGTAACAGGTTGAGCCGGCAGAGTTTGCGAGGGAGCTCTCTCTCCTCCCGCACATCGTCAGGAGCAGCCCGGAAGTCGTCTTTGCTCGCTCCGTTGCCAGGTGCGTTCGTTCCAAACATTCCAAATGCTCTGGGGGTTGGCTGCATGCATACATGTGGAGCAGCCGGCCGGCTAACCCGAACGTTCTGTTGTCTATGCACTTGTAACCCCTTCACTGCCTTGCATGCTACCCAGCTGCTAACCCCCGTAGTGCTGCACTCACACGTTGAGGGAACCTCTCATGCCAGCGGGCTGTCTCCATGCACCAACTTCCTCCGCTTCCCGCTTTCCTGGATGTCTCCGGGCAGTCTCTTGTCTTCGCTTCACACGTTCTCACCTTTCGCGTTTACTTACTCCCTCCTTCCTCCCCTTCCTCCCCTTCCCCCCCGTCCTCCACGTCCTCCTCTCCCCTCCACCCACCGCCCCTCTCAGGGCGTGTCGAACGCACAACTTTGTGGCGTTCTTCCGCTTGGCTCGCCAGGCCACCTACCTGCAGGCGTGCCTCATGCACGCGCACTTCAGCAAGGTCCGTGCAAAGCTGCAGCGCTGCGGGCTCACTGGATGGCGATCAATCATAACACTGATAGCACGGCATTCACTGGATGGCGATCAATCATAACACTGATAGCACGGCATTCACTGGATGGCGATCAATCATAACACTGATAGCACGGCATTCACTGGATGGCGATCAATCATAACACTGATAGCACGGCATTCACTGGATGGCGATCAATCATAACACTGATAGCACGGCATTCACTGGATGGCGATCAATCATAACACTGATAGCACGGCATTCACTGGATGGCGATCAATCATAACACTGATAGCACGGCATTCACTGGATGGCGATCAATCATAACACTGATAGCACGGCATTCACTGGATGGCGATCAATCAAAACACTGATAGCACGGCATTCACTGGATGGCGATCAATCATGACACTGATAGCACGGCATTCACTGGATGGCGATCAATCATAACACTGATAGCACGGCATTCACTGGATGGCGATCAATCATAACACTGATAGCACGGCATTCACTGGATGCTCATTGCATGCCCTCACCATCCTAGGGCTTTCTGAAAGCCCTCTGATTGCTCCACCAACCAAACCCGTCCACAGGTGCACGCCCTCTCCCTCCCAACGCACATCTCTCTTCTCATGCGCGCATCGCCCCTCCCTCGCCCCCCTCCTGTCTCAGATGCGTTTCGAGGGCGTTGGCAGCAGTGTATGCATCCGTTGCCCTCTCCGCCATCTCCTCCGCTCCATTTCCTCCCTCCCCCTCCCCCCCGTATCCCCCCTCCCCCCCATTACCCTCTCCCCCGTCTCAGATGCGTTCCAGGGCACTGGCAGCGGTGTATGCGTCAATCGCCAAGGGCCAGCAGCTGCCAGCCCTCACACTCGCACACTGGCTCGGCATGGAGGTATGGGGTGCAGGCTCGGCAGAGGTATGGGTTGCTGGCTCGGCTTGGAAGCAGGCATGGAGGTATGGGCTCCAATCTCTCTCCTCCTCCACGTTGTTGGTATGTGCACGTTTTCCTTCCTCTTTCTCACCATCATCCTGTCCGCCCTGAGTCCCGTTTTCACTCCTTCTGCCTCCCCCCTTCTCTCCCACGCACCCAGCAAGAGCCAGAGAAGCTACATGCACTGGTGGAGCACCATGGCCTGCCTGTTAGGAAGCTGCCTGCAAGCACTCATCTCCCCTCCTCTCCTTCCCTCTCCCCCTCCAATCTCCCCGACCCTCCTCCCCCATCTTCCCCCAGCAAGAGCCAGAGAAGCTGCAGGCGCTGGTGAAGCACTACGGCTTGGGAGGGAAGCGGCAAGCAACCACTCATCTCCACTCCTCTTTCCTCCCCCTTTCTCCCCCATCTTTCGCCCCCTCCCCACAACCCCCCCCCACACTCCTCCCCCCACCAGCAAGAGCCAGAGAAGCTGCAGGCACTGGTGGAGCACCACGGCTTGGCGCTGCACCCCTCAGACGCCCCCACAGATGCCACCTACCCAGATACAACCTCCCCCGCAGCCGCCCTGCTGGCCGGGAGCTGCCTGGTGAAGGGCGCACCCCTGGTGCAGGCTGGGACGCCCATGCCTCCTTCCTCCTCTGCTCTTGTGAGGAGCAAGCAGAGCCGGTTTATCGATGATGTCATTGCTGAGGTCAGCGGTGGGGCGGGAGGAGGAGGAGGAGGAGGGGAGGAGAAGGGTGGCGGGCAGATGGAGAGGCAGCAGCGGGCAGAGGAGCAGAGGAGGAGACAGGAAGCGTGGCTGCAGAAGCAGCAGCAGCAACGACTGCAGCAGCAGCAGTTGCAGCAGCAGAAATTGATGATGGAGCAGAGGCAAAGGGAAGAGCAGATAAAGGCAATGGAAGAGAAGCAGAGAGTGTTAGAGAGGGAGATGGAGCGGGAGAGGGAGCGAGTGAGGGAGCTTGAAAGGAGAGCTGCACTCCAGGCGCAGGCGAAGAGGCAGGAGGAGGAGAGGAGGGCGAGGGAAGAGGAGGAGAGGCAGCAGAGGGAGGCAGAAGCAGTGGAGAGGGAAAGGAGGGAAAAGGAAAGGGAGGAGCAGGTGAGGCAAGAGAGAAGAAGGAAAGAGATGGAGATGAGGGAGAGGATTCTGAAGGAGAGAGCGCGGGTGGAGAGGGAGAAGAGGGAAGCGGAGCAGAGGGAGAGAGAGAGGCAGGAGAGCAAGAAGAGGGAGCAGGAGAGGAAAGAGAGGGAGAGGCAGGAGCGGGAGGAGGCACAGAGGCAGAGGAGGGCGAGGGAGGAGGAGGAGAGGGAGCGGGCAGCGTTGGAAGAGGCGGGGCGGAAGGCGAGGGGTGTGTGGCTGCGGCGTGTTGTGAGGAGGTGGAGGCAGAACGCTGCTCAGATGGGGCAGCTGAGACGGCTGCGCCAGCTGGCAGTCAGTGATTGGCAGCTGGAGGGGTCGATTGCTTCGCAGCCGACTGTGGTAGCATCCAAGGTAATATGTCATGTGCTGTGCTGTGCGGTACTGTGGTGTGCTGTGGTGTGCTGTGCTGTGCTGTGTTGTGCGGTGCTGTGCTGTGCGGTACCGTGCTGTGCTGTGCTGTGCTGTGCGGTACTATGGTGTACTGTTCTGGTGATGCTCCTGTGGGTGAGCGGTTTTTCTGTCACTCTCAAAAACACCTAGTGAGTCCACCAGGGTAGTGTGTGTGCGTTGCTGGTGGTGCTGCGGCTGTGAGCGATGCACACTACACTCTTGTTCTGAGCACCCACTCTTGGCTGCTAAGAATTCACACACGGGACACTGAAAGGGCCTTTCCTGCCTCTCCCCTCCCACACTTCCGGTTTCCCTGTCCATCCCCCGCACTCTATGTGCTGCCCTCCCTCACGCCATCGCAGCAAGCCCCGCACAAGCGGTTGCGGGGAGCAGCAACGTGGGGCGCACCAGCTCTGAGCAAGGCAGAGTCCAACAGAGGGGGCGCTACAGCAGATAGCCGGTTTGCCGTAGCAGCACCCAGTGCCAGTGGCCCCAGGTTCCTGCATCCACCTGCTCCTTGGGGACGAACAGGCTTCGCTGCTCCTACTGCCTTTGCTGTTCATAGTGCATTCGCTGCGCCCTCTCCTCTGGACGTGGCACGGCTGGTGGGCGGTAGACTTGTTGCCACACGAGTGCCATCGAGAAGCGCTGGCCCGCTGCTGACTGCGCGCCGAGTGGTTTCGTGGAAGCTTCTTGTGTGCTGGCCGGAGCGCGAGTTGCAGGTGTGTTCATGTGGAATGTGTATCGATGCCAGGCCTCCTGTCCTGTTTCGCTCTGTGCCTCGTGGTACGTCCAAAAGTGTCGCCCTAGTCTATCACCCATCTGAGCGCTTCTGGCTGTGGCCACCAACATGCCACGCTGTGTGTGTGTGCCCTGCTGTGCTCATCTCTCCCATCACTCCATCCCATCCCATCGCATTCCATCCCATTCCATCCCATTGCATCGCATTCCATGCTAGCCGAACCACACACAAAGGCATGTCTCTCCAACTACCTCTCATGCCTTTTATGGCAAATTCACGCTTTGCATGACACTCTGTCACCAGTCCATGACGCTTCTTGTAGCATCTCGTGCAATCCATGTGTTGCAGGAAACGCCATCACCACTCCATGATGCCACACATTGGCTCTGCAGCAGCCTCTCCGCCCCCTCCCACGCCCTCAACGCCCTCCAGCACCGAACAGCACCGCACAGCACACCTCACGGCAGCTCATCCGCCTCTCAGCCCTCTGACCCATCGCTGCTTTCCTGCTACGTGGCTCCCATGCCGCACTGCACTGCAGCAGGGGAGGCAGCATCCGAGCTGCCAGGTGGAATTTCAGGTGCTGCTTCAGGTGAAAAGGCACAAGCAGGGAGGGTAGGCTCAGCATCCGGCTCGCTTTTCTGGCTCGTGGTGAGACGGATCTCTGCGGAGGTGCAGGCAAGAGACGGTGGAAGGTTCCTGGAAGGGGCTCAGGCGATGGTGTGTGTTGTGGATGGCAGCAGCAACACAGAGCCCCAGGTGCAGCGCATCATACAGACAGTGGCGTTGCTCCCGACCTCCCTCGCCCCTATCCCCCTGCTGCTCCTCGTCCTGCCTCCCCACCCACCACCACCACAACCATCGGCCACAGCATCAACACCAGCAGCATCCGTATCCCTCTCTACAGGCCCCTGCGCCCCTGTGCCTGTCCCCTCCTCCTTCGCATCCCTCACCCTCTCCCATTTCCAACCCTCCTCCACCCGTCCACCAGCCCCCCAGTCAGCTCCACCACCCTCTCAGTCCTCATCCTCCCCAGCCCCACGCCTCTCTGCTCTCCGCATCCTCCCTCTCGGCCGATCTAACCCCCCTCCACCTCATGACGTCACCTCTCCTGATTGGCCCGCCAAGATCGCCCTGACAAGTGGACTGCGTTGGTTGGCTGATTCCTCCCTGCTGCCACCTCAGCTTGCACCGCTCCCCCTCAGCGATCTCGTGCTGCGTCACCTGTCGCCACGTGTCACGCGGCTGTTGGCCGTGGACCCCTCACTGGTGCGACCACAGGAGTGCATCACTGAGTTCAACGCCAGCCTGGACAGCGCAGCCAGTGACATCGCGACAGCTGTCGCGGCCTCGCCCCCTGCCAGTGGAAACCCGCTGCCTGAACTCCCTGCGTTGCTGCAGCTGCTGGGGGGTCGTAAGGGGGAAAGGCAAGGGGAACGCACAGGAGAAAGCAGGGGCGGTGAGATGGGAGAGAGCAGAAGCAAGGCAGACAGGGCAGCAGCTGGACTTGAGGCCTCAATTTTATCCTCTTTCCTGCCTCCCACCGACTGGAACAGCCCTTCTAGCACCTCCCACCTCACCACCGCCCTCTCATCAGAACCAGTGGCAGTGCGTGGGTGGGTGGTGCTGCTGCAACGAGTGCAGCAAGCGAGGGTGTGACGGACGACTATTCAGAGGAAGACGGAGGGAACGAGGTTGTGTCATCAGCAGAGCTCCCCCCTTTGCTGGCAGCCCCAGCAGCTCCTTCCTTGCCGTACTCGATTGGGCCATATCAATCCCATGTTAGCAGCAAAGCATGGCGTGCAAGCAGTGTGCCTATACCCGGTCTCCCCACGTCCATCAGCCTTCTCCGCTCCTCCGCCCCTTCCTACGCTGCTGCGGCTGCTTTAGCCCCTCGCACCTCTCTCGTACCATCCCGACCCACCCCCTCCCCTTCACCCTCCCCTCCTCCATTGCTGCAGCTCCCCCATCCACCCGCACACGCTGCTCCCATCAACCAACCGCTCCCACACTCCCACCTGCTTCCAGCCTCACACCACGTGCTCCTTTCTCTCTCCCGCACCAATCACGAGCTTTCTGCACCCATCCTGCCTGTGCCATCCCAATCACAACACAGCCTTGCCCAACATCCACCACTTCCTCTTTACAAGCCCGGCTCGGGTTCTGTTTATAAGCCTGCCACTCAGCACGGGTGGGAGCGTGGAAATCAAGTGAAGCGCAAGGCACCGGCAAGTGCATGGAGTGCTGGGTATGGCGGTGGTGGGCGTGTGGGCCGTGAGAGTGGGAGAGAGGGTGATGAAAGAGGAGAGGGTGAGGACAGGGGAGACGTGGAAAGAAAAGGAATTGAGAGAGGATGGGTGGAGAGTGAAGGGAAAGGGAGAGCGGAGCATTGGTTCGGCCCGGGAGGCAGGAGGCAGCAGCTGAGGCTGGCAGAGTCTGATGGTCTGGTAGCCAATGAGATGCTGCCACGTGGCATTGTGCGAGCTGCTGATGTGGTTGCTGCAAGTGGTGTTGGTGAGGTTTTTCCACCGGCTGAAGAAGCGGCCAGATTGGGCAGCCGAGTTGGTGATGCGGGTGATAGGCATGCAAGCGGCATTGCTGTGGGTCTCGGTGATGGTGGTGGTGATAAGGCAGAAGGGTTGCTGAGTGCAGGTGCAAACGAGCGAAGGGTGAGAGAGATGGTGGAGGAACTGATGAAAAGGAGACAGGTGACAGCATGAAGAATGTGGGCATGTATATGAAGCAGACTACATTGCACTGCTACCTTCTCAAGTGTTGTACCTGTCCTAGTTGTTTAAAACAGGCCCCAACAGGGCCCAGAGTTTAGAGCCCTAACCTAACCTTTGTTAGAGTGAGGACCTTGGATAGGATAGGAATGCCTTAGAAGAGTTTGGTAGCGGAAGTCTTAGTTGTAGGAACTCTGATCATAGTGAATGTAGATGACAAAGTTGATTAAAACAAAGATTACACACATAATAAATAGTTCCTAGCTAGCCATGTACTCTGAGGGGTACATTCCCTTATTCTAACTGCTTTACAGGCATTTCTACAGTGACTCTGACTGTTGCTCTACTTTCTTGTTACCGAGTCGCTGCATGTAACCTGTACATACGGTTACGCCTGTTGCCATTCCTTGATGGTAAGTCAAATGTCGGTACAGATGGTCAACAGTCGCGACAGTTGACTCTTGCGACTGTTGACCTTCCTGCCCTTGATACGGGCTGATCCGATACTGCGGTAGTTGCTGCTTCGATAAGGACTGGTGCGATACTGCTGCACCTACGGGAATGCTAAGTGTAATTCCCTTCATACTCCAACACTCCCCTTCATTCCTGGAGGTGCGCCACGTGGCTCTTTCGAACGACTCCGCACAGATCCGAGCAGTAATGGAACTTCTGACGTGGCAGATTCTTCGTCAGAAAATCAGCTGCCATTTCGCCATTCGGGCAGTAGGTGAGCTGGACCTTCCCTTTGTCGATTTCGTCCTTGACGAAGAAGTAACGCAGGGCGATGTGTTTCGTGCGGTTGACGAAGCCTGGCTTGTTTGCGAATTTGATCGCGCTCTGGTTGTCGCAGAGTAACTTGAAGGACCTGTTCATCGCCGTCTTCGTTTCCTGTAGGAGTTCCGTGAGGTAGAGACCTTCGCGAACTGCTGCGCTTGCTGCGATGAATTCTTCTTCTGCTGACGAGAGGGCGATGAGCTCCTGCTTCTGTGAGTTCCAGGAGATGGTTCCTGCAGGCTCAAGTTTGAAAATAAAGCCTGTGCGGGATCTCCTGTTGTCTGCGTCCCCTGCGTGATCCGCATCCACGTAGCCAGTAAGCTGTAGAGTAGCCGTTATGTTCGCTGTGTAGGTGAGGCCGACATCGGGCGTAGAGATGAAGTACTGTAAGGCGCGGCGCAGGTCTGCCAGGTTCTCCCCTTCAGGTCGACGCAGGTACTGGGCGAGCTGGCTGGCGATGTAGGATAAGTCCGGGCGGCATGTGACGGCGGCGAACAGTAGGCACCCGAGCTGCTGCTGGTAGAGGCGGTGATCGGCCTGTGAGAGCGGGGTAGTGTCGGGCTCGTGGTTAGGCGGAGGAGTGCGGAATGGGGTAGTGATGCCGACGGGAGCAATGCCGAACTTCTTAGCGAGTGTTTCGGCGTATTTCGCGGCAGAGAGGTGGATTGTGTCGGCGGTCTGGGTGACGTTGAGGCCGAGGAATTGCGTGACCTCGTGGTCAATGGTTACTTCCAGCTTCGCCTGGATGTCGCGTTCGAAGCGATCGAGTAGTTCCGCGTCATCTCCGGTGTAGAGGAGATCATCCACGTAGGCGACGAGTAGGATGAAGTGGCCGCGGGATTCGAGGCGGTACATCCCCTGATCGTGAGGGAGCTGCTGGAAGCCGAGCTCGATGAGCACGGTGTGAAGGTACTGCTGCCACAGGTGTGGCGCCTGCTTGATGCCGTACATAGATTTTTGGAGGAGGCAGATGGCGTCGCCGTCTTCCTCGAAGGCGTGCGGCTGCTCAACGTAGATGATGGCGTCGACGATCGCGTAGAGGAAGGCGTTGGAGACGTCGATCTTGCGGAGAGGACGCTGCTTCACGGCGGCGATGCAAAGAAGAATCCGCACAGAGGTGTGGCGGCCGACAGGTGCGAATGTTTGATCGTAGTCCACGAATTGAGTCTGCTCGAATCCGCGGACGACCCAGCGTGCCTTGTACTTGTCAATAGTCCCATCCGCGAGAGTTTTAATCCTGAAGACCCATTTTCCCGTAAGGATTTTCCTCCCCTTTGCGTGTCGTCGAGGTACCAGCTTCCAGGTACCACGTCGCTGAAGTGCAGCGACTTCGGCAGCCATGGCAGCTCTCCATTTCTCAGCATCGGGCCCACTGAGAGCCTGACGAACGGTGGTGGGCTTGACCAGCTGGTGGTTACCCCGAACGGCGACGGCGAGGACAAGGATGCGAAGGCCCGTGAGGTTGGATTCAGCTGTGTTGGTAACCTCAACCACGTCGTCGTCGTCGCCAGGGATGTCGCGGACAGTGTCGCGAGAAGAATTGCGGGCGGGGTCTTCGTCCATAGGTAAGTGCATTTCTGCACTTGCGTAGTCGTGCTGTGCTTGTACTGCTTCGTGATAATCGGTCTCCGTTGGGAAGAATGTGGCTGTCCCGAACTCCTCCGTAACGGGTACGAAGGGTGCCTCGTCCCCAATTGCCGCGTCTGGCTGTTCTCCTGCCACGTCGACGTCGTCCTCGTCATTTGCGTAGCTGTGCTGTCCCTGAAAAATGTTGTCCGGTGCGTTTTGTGCAGTGCGGTGCTGGCGGTACAGTGGCAGTGTCAGCCTTTCGTAGAAGATGCAATCACGTGAACGCGTGAGCTGGTGGGTGGCGAAGTCCAGGATTGTCCAGGCGTGGTATTCGGATTCGATTCCGAGATGAATGCCCCAGCGGGTGCGGTCTTCAAATTTTCCGGTCCGGGCAGTGTGGGGGCGGTACTGTACCATGCACCCGAAGACCCGCAGCATGCGTGTGTCAGGGTGTTTTCCGGTCCACTCCTTGAAAGGTGAGGTGTTGTTGGGCAGTGCTTTTGAGGAAAGCATGTTGTGCAGCTGAACTGCATGCGCCATCGCAAAGGGCCAATATTTGGTTGGCACAGCCGACTGCTTCATGAGAGCTCGCATCTTTGTCGCGAGGCTCCTGTTGGTGCGCTCAGCCAATCCCTGCTGCTCATGAGCGTAGGGGAGGGAAATCATCCTCTTGATTCCCTTCTGCTTGCATAGGGTTTTGAACTCCTCCGTCTGATATTCCAAGGCTCCGTCTGTCTGAAATGCCTTCAGCTTCTGTCCGTCGCTCTGTGTCTCCGCCATGCTTAGCCAGATCTCGAAGCATTGGTATGCGAGATAGCGGTTACTGGTGTTTACGGCCCACACAAAGCGCGTGCCGGCGTCGATGAAGGTAAGGGTGTACTTCTCTCCTCCAGCTCCTTTCGCCGTGAGCACAAGGAAATCGATGTAAACCTTCTCGAGCGGTTTGTATCGTTCGGCTCCAGGGATTTTCTCGGCGAAAGCGTGTGACGTAGCGCGGCTGCGGGGCAGACGGTGCAGTTGGGTAAGTCAGTTCTTGGCTTGAGTAGTTTTCCATGTGGCAGCAACAGTGCGTCTGCCGCAAAGACGTTTGCGTTGATGCAGTTGTTGAGCACTTCAATTGATGGGTGTCCCATGCGTTGATGCCAGATGTCTCCGTCGGCCCGGTATCCTTTAGTGCGCGCGTAAAGCTCCTTCTCCCGTGCTAATATTGCTGCTGCGGTTTCTGTTCCGACTTGTTCTGCAGGTTCGTCGGGGACGGTAACTCGGACTGCTGCTGCTTGAAGTGTTGTGCCGTGGTACGTCCCGCTGCTGTCGCCGATGGTGGATGTGTCGGTCGTCACCGGGAGCTCCAGTGGTCCCTCGGGAGGCGGCGATGAAATGCGTGGGCGGCGATCTTCTGGCTGCGTGATCTCCCCTTCTTCGAAGTCAGTGTCGCTTATCGCCGCTCCCCTTGTCTCGATGCGAAGGTAATCCCTCCTGTCCGTCGTGATCGGAAGGAGGTGAGGGCCGTACTCCGTCAGTGATTCTTCTTCTTCTGCTTCTGGTGCTTCCTCAGTGACTTCTGGTTCTTCTGCTGCTTCTGCTTCCTCTGCTGCAGATTCTTCGGCGATGGTTCCTCGTCCAGTTTCAGCTGCAATAGCTTCTCCCAGCACACTGCTCTCCGTGACCCAGCGTGTGTCCACGGCGTCCCAGCCCTCAGTGGTGTTCCAGCCGGTAGGTTGTTCAACGCGAGGCCAAATTGCTCGTGCCCATCCTCCGATTTATGGGCTTCCCGTTTCAGTTGTCGCAACTGCCGTTTCTGATGTGATTTCTTCTCCTTCTTCTTCCACTGCTTGTGGTCCGGTGTCTGCAGGGTTCGTGGTCGAGGCGACGGGTACGGCAAGAGCGCGGAAGGTTCCATCGAGGCCAGGCTGCTGATAGTCGGTTTCTTCTGGATGGCTCCACCGTGGGGGAGACGGGTGGCCGGGCGGATCAAGGGCGAGGGTGCGTTGGTTGTTGCCAGAGGTGTTGGGTGACTCAAAGTCGAGCACAAATACTCCTTCGATGCTTGTCGCCTTCCCGATGAAGATTCCGTCGTATATTAAGTGGAGTTCGTTTTCGGTTGCTTGCAGGCCGACTCCACACTTCATCAGCTGGTCAAGGGACAGAAGGTTGTACTGGAGCTCGGGTACAACGAGGACATCGCTGATGTGGATGCAGTAGCCGGTGTCATGTGACTCCAGTTGGATCTGACCGCGGCTCCTGGCATGGATGGTTTGGCTATTGGCGACAGTGATCTCCACCTCGTTGAAGAGTGCTTCGCTGTTGAGGATGAAGACGTTTGACGACACCATGTGTTGGCCGCAGCAACTGTCCAGGTACCATTTGTTGACTTCTTTCCTTGCTTTCGCGAGATTGGCGAGCTTCGGAGTGATGTGATGCTCCATGTCGTGCTCGTTCTCGTAGTCGTAGTAACATCCTTCCTCGTCGTATGCGATGCGTGCAGGTGGTGACTCCTGAATCCACTGCGGCGCTTCCGAGTCAAACAGCATCCGTCCGACCGTCAGCTCGTCGTAGGTTGGATCGTTCTCTTCTTCTTCTTCAACTGATCCTTCGGGCCGCTCCTGAGGCGGGTCTGCGAACATGTCCTCCCAGCTGCGGAAGAAACGGTA